GCGGCGCTGCCGCTCGGACGCTGACGCGGACGCTGGCAGCACCTGCCCGGACCCGCCGGACCCTCGCCCGCGCCCCGGCGCCTCCGCGGGCTCAAGCTGCCCGGGGCCGGGGAGGCCAAGGTAAGAGCTCGGGTCGCGGAGCGACTTCTCAGACCTGTGGCTGTGCTTTGCCCGGGACGCGGGGAACGACGCCTGCCCTGCCCGGTGGCCCGGCCCTGCTTTGGGAGCCCCTGGGCTCGCGTGGTCCCTGCGCCCCGGTTGTCTTTTCTGGTGCGGAGAACTTTTCCTGGCTCCTGGCTGCAGAGAGGGCGACCTAGGGTACATGCACAGCCTCAGCCCGCGATCCCCTGTGTAGGCCCGAGGGGCAGCGGTTTCTGGGGGGCTGGGGCACTGTCGCAGCTGGAGCGGGCACCCGAATCTTGCGTCCTGGCCACCGAGCTATGCCCAGTGCCTTGTTACCGTCGCCTTTCTGGGGGCCTCTGCGACCAGCCCGTCCTTCTTGAGTACAAAGCCTCCCCAGCAAGATCGGGGTTTAAATGGGTCACTTCAGAGGGAGTGGATTGTCTCCTGCACGCTCAGGCCAGCTCTCCGTGGCCCTGTTCAACGGGGTGGATTTCATCGTCCCTGCGTGGATGAACCTCGGCTGAGCAGGTTTCTGCTGAATTTTGAATTCATGAATTTTGTCACTGAGCCCCTTCGCATGATCTCCGGAGGGACCAGATAGCAGCATACATTTTCCGTGAATGTCACGGGAAGTTTTACAGGGTCTTATGTAAGGGCCCCAAGAGAGAGAACTCTGGCCCCGACTGCCTTCCAGGGTTCCCGGGGGTGGGGTGGGGGGACAGCTGGGAGCACTGCATCACCTAGAGCCCGAGGATCAGGAGTGGGCTCTCACTGAAGCGGGAGGCGCTGCCCAGGGTTGATTTTCCTCTGACCTCGCCGGGCGTTACAACCTCAGGATCAGCTTTGATAAACTGAAGAGAAGGGAGAGCTCTAAATTAGGAAAAGAACGAGCTGGAGCTTTTTTCTCTCATCTCACAGATGGGTGTCATGAACGGATTACTAGGCAGCTGATGCCTCACTGGGGAAAAAAAACGAAGGAAAAAGAACTGGCTGAAGGTTTCACACCTCGTTGTCCCCTCTCCTAGCACCTCCGTATTTCTAGAGTGTCTGACTTGAGTGAAAATTACTTGTGGAGGACACATCTGTGGATCCTCTCTGCAAATTCCATTCCAGGAAGACAAGGAAGTCATCCAGATGTGGGTTGTAGAGGGCTTTTGAGAGCACCCAGGAAAGGCTCAGAGCCCCAGGTAGGGTGGAGAGGTTTGGAGGGGAGGAGGATCGGCCAGTGTGCAGCCCGAGGTGGGCGCTGCCTGAGAGCTCCCCGTGGAGGGCTGGGTTGTGCGTCAGCTTTCTGCTGAGATGAAGCTGGTTCCTTGGGCTTCTACAACACGGCTGGAAGGGCTGTGGGAAGGAAAGGACAGGTTCACCCAGCCCATCCTGGGTACTGGAGTGTTCCTTCTGGGAAGTGGACAAGGCTCCCAGGGTTCTGGGTTCTGAGTTGTGGAAAGCAGGATGGTGCTGTCTGCGGTACTGCAGCCTCAGCTGCCTTCAGGACACTAGGGGGGCTTGGATGCTACTCTGTCACCCAGGAGGGAAATGCAGGGACCCAGAGGTGGGCTTGCCTTTTCAGGGCTCGTGGGTGCAACTTTTCACTTCTGACATGTGTTCTTATTAAGGAGTAGATTCTGAGTGCTTTGCGGATGGGCCCGCTCATGCCATCTGGACGACTTAGGACTGGCTGTGTGTGTTGTGTGGGATTCTGAAAAGACCAGGATGTAGTCTCCATGACATCTTAGAAGACACAGCCTCTTGCACATTCTGTCCTTTGGACACCTGGTTGTGCTGACCTGAAATTCTTTGCTTGCAGTGAACCCCTCACCTTTGTTTGTCTCCTGTCCTGCAGTATTGAGCTGAACGCAGGGCCTTTGCAGTAGGCTGCATTCTTAACACTGTCTTACTTTGTTTTTGTAAATTTTGAGAGTGGGTCTCACAAAGTCACTAAATTACATCGGGTTTCCTTTTGTCTTTTTTACATACCCCACTGTCTTATAAAATCACACTGTGTCAGAACATCTTTAAAATCAACTCCATCAAACTTAAAATTTCTTGCTGCCTTCTCCTTAAAAGCACGCGCAGATGTTAACGTGGCATCTGACGGCGTGTCTGCACTCTCATCTAGAGCCCTGAATCATTAGTGTCTGGGAATCTGCCAGTGGAATTAGAAGATTGTTCTCTCTCCCTGCAGAACAAAGCTCCAGTTGCCCAGGCCTCCCCACAGGAGCTGCGTCTGCCTTCTCAGAGCTGCTGGAAGGTGAGAGATGTAAGAGGTGGAGTCTGAGGAGAGACCCTCGCTGCAGGACTCTGGCACAGTTTGGCCAGTGTCACCATGGTTCAGGGTTCATGCATCCTCAGGGCTACTTCAGCATGCACAGCCTGCCTGTTCGGAGCCTGGGAACGTGCACAAGTTGTTTGTCTTCCTGAGCTCTGGTAGGCTGTGTTTGTGACCCTGTCCTCATAGGAAAAGTGCATGTGTAGGTAGCCTAAGGGGCGTGGTGGTTGTGGTCCCAGAAGAATGGTCAGTGTGAGTGAAGCTTTATTCCATTCAGGCTTGCTGGGTCGACTCACAGGTGCGCTGTTGCCATCAGAGGTCTGTGCAGGAAAGACCACTGCACTGGCCATCCAGGGCCAGCAGGGAGCACCAGTGCTGGCAGTTGCCTGAGAAGGTGGCGGGGTGGGCAAAGGGCTGAAGCAGGAGGCAGACCTCCCTGAGCATGCGGAACACAGTCGAGGCGGCTGTGTGGCCAGAGAGTCTTGGAGAGCAGAGAGGAGACAGTGGCACTGACTGGGGAGTGGGGCTTCGGGGCATTGAGAGCCCCAAGAACCTGCCGATGAACACCTTGGGGGCAGGGCTGCTTCCTGGTGTCTGCTGCTCTGGCCTGGAGGGCTTGTCTTGGAGAGCCACAGGCATTTAGGTGGTGGGCAGGAGCCAGTACACGGAGGCTTCATTCAGTTTGTTTCAAAAGGCTGTTCTCTGGACTTCACGCGTGGTCCTCGAGCATCTGTGAACACCTAGAACATGAGGTGCGGTGCTCCGTGCGGAGGTTGCAGACACTGAGCCAGGCTTAGCATCCTTCCTGGGGCAGCAGGCATTCATTCAGCCACTGCTGCAGGTCACAGTTTGCCACGTGGGGCCACTTTGAGCTTGTGGTGTAGGAAGGAGGGGAATTGGGATGGGGCCCTTGGTGCGGTGTGTGTGGCTGGCAGGCGAGCAGTGCAGCTCGGGGAGCTGTGTTAGGGGCTGCTCAGAGCTCCCTCCTACCCAGGCTGGGCTCCAGGCATTTAGGTGGGGGCGCTGCTGGTAGGATCTGGTGTGCTGGCTGATTATCCCTTGGGGTCACGAGATGCGGGAAAGGCATTATTATCTTTTTTTTTTTTCCTGCCAGATTTGCTTCTGGGCAGAGTGGTCAGGTTGAGCCCTACTCCTGCAGTCCTGTGTTCCAGTCACCACACTTCTGCCAAGACTGTTTTTGCTCTTGGAAAGGGAAGCATTTGTGGCAGAGTGGGAGTGGGTTGTGTGCCTGCCTGTGCATTTCCTGGGTGAGGATGTGCCTGTTTTCAGGACACGGGGTGTTCGCACCCATGCCAGCACCAGCACCCGCACGTGCACGTGTGCGGGCTGAGACAGGAAGGCGTAGTATTGATGGTCCACCTCGGCAAGATGTGGAGCTGTGTCACCTACTTAGGCCACCTCTGGATCACTCATGCACCTAAGGCAGGGTGTCAGTGCGCTGTGAATCACCGTTCTATAATTACTTAGGGAACAGTGACCAGGAAAAAAAGCCACGTTCACTATCTACATAGTTGTTTTCCAACTATTTCCCAGCTGAAGGTAGTTGACCTCAGAAAGCTCTGCTTCCGAGCTTGGACTGTCTGTGGCAAATGAGGGCAAGCAAGGGTGGGGCTAGAAAGGCAGAAGGAACCACGGCCACAGGGGCTCAGGAGTGCCTGGCCCTTCAGAACAGGCCCAGGCTGCCTCGCTGCCTCCGGCTTCTCCCCGTGTCGAGGGATGGCCGCTTGCTGAAGACAAAGCGGGAGGTTTAGGGTCTGGTGTTGGTAGTGTAGTGTGTGACCCAAGGACACCCCTGAAGACCTGTGGACGCTGGCACCATTGAGAACCTTGTGGAGGGACAGGTAGTGGCAAAGCGCAGGTCCTTCCCTGGGGACTGGCTTTCGAGCTCGAAGATGGGAAGACTCGAGGCCCACTCAGACATGCGCCGTACCCTGCAGGGCATCTTTCTGCCCGGAAACACGCAGCTCCAGGTGTGAGCCCGTGACCAGTGGCAGAGAGACTGCCTTTGCCCCACTGCTTGTAGAGTGCGCAGCTGGAGACTGGGCTGGGTCCCTTCTAGTCCTCGGGGCTGTTCACACCCAGTTGGAAGATGCCTGCTTGCCCCCTCCCTGGTGCCGTGGAACCCATCAGCGTTACAGCCCTCCTTAGCTGCTGCTTAAGAAGGAAGTACTTTGTGATTAAAATGAAGAATAGTGTTGGCCATTTTATTCATTCCAAAATTAAGAAGATGGAGGAGAAGCTGACCCTTGTGGATTTCGCAAAGCCTGAGGTACACACGGAAGAGACGCCTTTCATCTGACCTTGTAGGGGAGCCGTGGGGCAGTGTGAGGGGAGACTCTAGAGGAGACCAGAGCAGAATGGGTGCTAGACCTTCGAGTCGGGAGGTGTGCGGCTGCCTTGTTCTTCGGCCTCCAGATCTGCGGGTGGCTTCTTGCCGAGACTCCCGAGCTGCTGCCCGGGCGCAGCACCACTGGCTGGGAGGTGACGTGGCAGTGAAGAGCCAGGTGGGCCCCGCTCCTCATGCCCACGTCGTGGTGTGGAGGCATGTGGGCGGGTTGGCAGGGAGAGCTTGCAGGCAGTATTACTTAGGGCCCAGTGACTTAGGCGTGACTGAAGTACAAGAGGGTGTTATCTTACCCAAAGGATTTATTGTATTTGAAATAATTTGATTATCAGCCACAGTGGACACTTTGGGGGGCCTCACACC